CACAGCTGAATAAACCCTCACATTTTCTTCTTTGAACTGGAATAAAAAGCAGCGTGGACTCAGATAACCCCATTCAAAGCAGATATAGTGGGATTATCTGCCTTGATTTTCTGGATTATATGGATGTGTGGATGGGCTCTAAGAGAAGGAGACATGATTGTATAAATATCTGAAAGGCTGTCCTAAGGAAAAGTGAGAGGCTTCCTTTCTGCTGCCCTGGAGTCTGGGGCCCCTTCCACACAGCCATATAACCCAGAATATCAAGGCAAAACATCCCACAATGTCTTCTTTGAACTGGGTTATCTGAATCCACACTGCTCTATATTCCAGTTCAAAGCAGAACATGTGGGATTTTATTCAGCTGTGTGGAAGGGGCCTAGGACTCAACAGAGCCATGGGTTCACCTGAACATTAGGAAGAACATCCTGACTATAAGAAGAGCAGTTCAGCAGCGGAACTCTCTGCCTCGGAGTCCGGTGGAAACTCCTTCTTTGGGGACTTTTAAACAGAGGCTGGGTGGCTATTGGTCAGGGATGCTTTGATTGTGCTTTCCTTGCATGGCAAAAGGGGGTTGGATTGGATGGCCCATCTTCCAACACGAAGATTCTCTGCCGAAGAATGCTGGTGCCTCACCGAACTACAACTTACAGGATTCCATAGCATGGAGCCAGGGCAGCTGAAGTGGTGCCAAAACTGCATCGATTGTACTGTGTAAATGCAGACTCTGTTTTTGGCATCCTGCTTGCCAACTGGGGCACCCTATTTGCCAGAGGTTTTGTCGTGTCAGTTTTGAAACTGCTTCTGGGTTCATTTTGCAACAAGAGTTGCTTGGTTCAAGGGCTGAGCATCTTGCTCACATTCATGAGCCTTTGCAGACGGTGATCTGCGGACGGATCTCTCACGTTCCAACGCCCCACAGTCGGTGCAAGCAGCCATTGGCTGACGCATGACTGGTCCCACATCAGCCCAGTACCTTGGGCATGTCACTGCCCACAAACAGCAGAGAAGCTGACATCGAGCCTGGCCAATGGCCTGAGAGCCTGAAGAGCTTGCAGGCGGCCAATCAGCCAGGAAGACAAAAGGAGGTGTGACCAATCAGAGGGGAGAGCCTGAGGTTCATGCAGAGAGTGGCAAGCGCATGGACTTATTTCGGTTTCTGCACATCACTGATGGGAACATGAGCCCCAGGCTGATCTTAGCCATCATTGTGTCAGCAGCTCCTGATGCAAATATGTGTGTGTGTGTGTGTGTGTAATAAAAGCATAAGCACAATGAAAAAAAATCAGATACAGAAAATAATAATAATAATAATAATAATAATAATAATAATAATAATAACTTTATTTCTATACCACCTTATGTCCCAATAGGGACTCTGGACGGTGTACTAGTTTTATTTATTACCCGTCTGTTGTGATGGCTCGAGGCAAGGTACAACAAAGTAAAAAACGTAGGAACGTAAAATATATGCAATAAAATACATTGATTAAAAACACACAAATATATTTTTAAAAACTTGCACCAAACACAGATACAAAATTAACATGTAGTAGCATAGAATGGAAATCAAAACTCATGATTGAAGTAAGGGAACATATTTTTTGTTTCAACGCAAACGCTGAAGGAAGGCAGTCTGACCCCACATCAAGTGTCATGTCTTTGTACTAAGGAATCACAGCAGTTGTAGTTTGACAAGGCCTTTAGCCTTCTCTGCCCAAGACTGCAAGCTACAACTCCCAGGATTTCATAGCATTGAGCCATGGCCATCAATGTGGTGTCAAACTGCATTCATTCTCCAGTGCAGATGCACCCAACGTCAGATTCATCTTCCACTCCTTTTCATATCTTTCAAGCTAGTCTATCTGAGGCCCAATCTATTCTGCCTTCAGAATGCAGATTGAACTGCACTATATAGTCAGTGTAGACTCATATAATACAGATTAATTGCGTTGAACTGGATTAAATTCCTGTTTGTAAGGAGAGCTGTAAAACAGTGGAACTCTCTGCCTCAGACTCCAGAGGAAGCTCCTTCTTTGGAGGCTTTTAAACAGAGGCTGGATGGCCATCTGTTGTGGGGGAGGGCTTTGATTGTGCTTTTCCTGCAGGGCAAGGAGTTGGACCAGATGGCCCATGTGGTCTCTTTCAACTCTATTATTATTGTGTGATTCTAATACATCCAAACAAATGACTGTGTTTAAAGGTTAAGACCCTTCCACCAAAAAAGAATGTGTCTGAGAGGCTTAGTGAAATAGAGCAATTTAAAGCAGCTGCGGATAGTGAGATCCGGGCTGTGGATAGCAAAAGCGAGTCCTGGGAAGTGGATGGCCGGTACTGGCAGCAGGCCGCCTGTGGATCTGTGTGCCTGGCAAGACAAAGAAGCCATCCCAATGTTCTCCAATCAAAATATCTCACCAAGTTGAAGAAGAAGCCACTGAGGTAATTTTTTTCAGTCCAACTGGAAAAGATGACAGCTCGCTGTAAGCTGCTAAAGGAAACTGAGATGCTTCATACAGGCAAATACAGGCATATTATACATTCGAACCCTTTGTATTTTCTGCTCATGCCCCAGCTGGAGCTGGCTTCACTGTGATTGGCAGAGTTGGGTCAACATCACAACCAACTGGGAGGATTCTTCTTGAGAGGCAGGACTGCAGCGCCCACCAGCCAATCAGAGAGCATTCCCTGCTTCCAATGCAGATTTCCGCTTTCCAATGGCTGACAGGGGCCAGGATGGTCCATGGGACAAAGGAGACATAGCTTTGTGAAAGGATTACATGGCCCCAACACCAGGACGAACAAAGAGGGACCATCAGGTCCCATGTGGGTTATTGTCTTGGTGATGGGTTTAATGAGTCCAACACTGGATCCTGTTGCCCCTTGTACACCTGGGTCTATGGGCCCCGGAGATGATGGGTGCTTGAGTCCTTTTGTAGTAGATGATGACCAGGAAAATCACTTGAGGAAATTCCCAGGTTAAGAGGTGCTGGCGAAAAGTCACCAAGGTCTTGCTGGATGGCTTCATACTCCAAAGATTCATATAAAACATTAAAATGTTATAAGACATCCACAAGGGAATCTGTGGATTCCAGAGTACCCATAGGAAGAGGGTTAGCAAAGGGGTTAGTTGAGTTGCAGGGATGTGGTATTCGGAATGAAGGGTGGGAGCCCCGCTCCAAGGGCCTGTGGGGGCCATATAGCCACCAGGGCTGGCTGTGAGAGACAAAAGTGGAAAAGACTCAGGAGGCAAAGAAGATACAATGAAGCAGAAACAGAGGATAACGCACCGCAGTGCACATTTATTGAAGCGTTACTTTGTGATAAACTATTAAAATGGGGAAAGATTGGAGCTGCCTGTTTGCTACTGGGCACAATTCAAAGTGCTGGCTTTGGCCTATAAAGCCCTAAACACCCCAGCTCAGTTTACCTGTCCGAACGCATCTCTCTTTACCAACCACCATGAAGACTAAGATCTTCTGAGGAGGCCCTGCTCTTGGTCCCGCCACCGTCACAGGTGCATTTGGTGGGGACGGGAGAAAGGGCCTTCTCAGTGATTGCCCCCCGGCTATGGAACTCCCTTCCTGGCAATATTAGATCCGCTCCCTCCCTCCTTCCTGTCCTTCAGGATGGTGAACACCTGGCTGTGGGATCAAGCCCCTGGGGCAGTGCAATGAGGCAATAATAGAATGATGTCCTGATATGGTTTTTAAGCAATTGATTTTAAGGTGGATATAAGTGATTTTAATGTTTGTGTATATTTATGGTTTTACTAGCCATCCCCTGCCACACACTGCTGTGGCCCAGTCTGGTGATCTGGAAAATAAAGTAATGAGAAAGTTTTGGTTTCTAATACATGTAATTGCTTTATGTTTGTAGGTAAGCAGTATTTTTTGTTGTTTCTTTGTTAGTGTTGATGTAGAGATTGTCTGGTTCACCTACTCTGAAACATGCAACATATAATTGCCCTTCTTTAGGGGTCCCTTTCAAATATATGATACTGTATCTCTCATATACATATGTGTGTGTGTGAATCCTATATATCCATCTATATCTATTGCTGGATGACTCTTTGTCAGGAGGGCTTTGATTATGTTGCCCTGGTGAAGGGAGTTGGTCTGGATGGCCTTAAGGCAGCATTTCTCAAGCTGGGGCTCGGGACCTCTGGGGATCACGAGAGGGTGTCAGAAGGGTCACCAAAGACCATCAGAAAACACAGTATTTTCTGTTGGTCATGGGGGTTCTGTGTAGGAAGTTCAGCCCAATTCTATCATTGGTGGGGTTCAGAATGCTCTTTGATTGTAGCTGAACTATAAATTCCAGTAACTACAACTCCCAAATATCCAGGTCTATTTCCCCCAAATTCCACCTGTGTTCATATTTGGGCATATGGAGTGCCAAGTTTGGTCCAGATCCATCATTGTTTGAGTACATAGTGCTCTCTGTTTGTAGGTGAACTACAACTCCAAAACTCAAGGTCAATGCCCACCAAACCCTTCTAGTGTTTTCTGTTGGTCATGGGAGTCCTGTGTGCCAAGTTTGATTCAATTTCTTTATTGGTGGAGTTCAGGATGCTCTTTGATTGTACGCTAATTATAAATCCCAGCAACTACAACTCCCAAATGACAAAATCAATATTTTTTGAGTGATGGTCACTACTTGAGTGTCTTGTGGCCAACTCTGGTGGCAATTTGTCCAGTGTTTTTTGAATTATGATGTCACTCAAAACAAACAGAGCATTTGTATATGTATAGATGACCTGACATTGACTGTTTGCCCTATATATGTTGTGCTCCGTCCTGAGTCCCCCGCGGGATGAGAAGGGCGGAATATAAATGTGTCAAATAAATAAATATATATCACCCAGTTCAAAGCAGATAATGTGGGATTTTATACAGCTGTGTGGAAGGGGCTCCGCTGCTGTGGGTTGCAAGGAGGGCGGCGGCCAGCAGGTGGCGCTGGCGCGTTGCGAAGCGCAGGCGCCGGGGACGCTCTAGCGGCGCGGACTGAGGCGCTTCCGGCCGCCCTCGCGAGGAGGAGGAGGAGGAGGAGGAGGAGGAGCAGCCGTGCCGCCGCCACCACCGCCGCTGCCGCGAGTGGGCCGGAGCGGAAACGGTGGCGGCGGGGAGAAAGGAAGAGGAGAAGCAGCGGCAGCGCCATGGCGGGCAGGGGCAGAGCGTTGCTGTTGGCCTTCCTGCTCCTCCTGCTGGCGGGGCCCGGCGCCTGGTCGGCGCGGAGCCGCAGCGCCGACAAGCAGAACAGCCTCCGCCGGGCGGCGGGCAGCGTCTACCAAGGCGTCAGCGGCCTCTTCGGCGAGGAGAACGTGCGCGCCCTCCAGAAGGTGAAGGGGAGGGGAGGGGAGGGGAGGCGAGGCCTGGCCTTCAAGGGTCGCTCACCTGGGCCGTGGAATGGTCCGCTTGCATCCGCATTGGATGCTCTGCCTGGGGCCACACGGACCGTAGCTTGTTTACCCTGCAGAAGGGAAGGCCGGGGGGGAGTCATGTTTAAATATGGAAAAGGCTGGGTTGCTGTGAGTTTTCCGGGCTGTGGCCATGTTCGAGAAGCATTCTCTCCTGACGTTTCGCCCACACCTCTGGCAGGCGTCCTCAGAGGTTGTGAGGTCAGTTGGAAACTAGGCAAATGGAGTTTATATACCCGTCCAGGGTGGGAGAAAGAACCCTTACCTGTTTGAGGTAAATGGGAATGTTGCCATTGGCCAGCTTGATTAGCATTGAATGGCCTTGCAGCTTCAAAGCCTGTCTGCTTCCTGCCTGGAGGGGGGAATCCTTAGTTGGGAGGTATTGGCTGGCCCTGTTTGTTTCCTGTCTAGAATTCCCCTGATTTTTTGAGTGTTGCTCCTCCAAGGTGAACTGAACCACCTTAACTGGGCTCTACAGGCCAAAGGAGATTCCACCACAGACATCAGAAGAGCTGCATGACCGCCACGAGACTCAAGACAAAGATCCACCCGGAGGAAAAGTGTTCTTACCACACATCAAGGAAAGCACTGGCCGCATAGGGAAGCTGATGAACAAACACAACCCACAAATGCTACAGTGGACAAGAGGGATCCTCTCACCTCTGCAGGAGTCTACCATATACCATGCAGCTGTGGACAAGTCTACATAGAGACCACCAAAGGCAGCAGCAGAAATGAATCAGAAATGAATCACGGAACATGAAAGGCACTGCAGACTAATCCAGCCAGAGAAGCCAGCCATAGCAGAGCACTTGGTGAACCAGCCTAGACACAGCATATTATTTGAGAACACCGAAATGCAGGACCACTCTAACAACCCATGTCAGACTACACAGAGAAGCCATTGAAATCCACAAGCATGTGGATAATTTCAACAGGAAGAAACCATGAAAATGAACAAAATCTGGCTCCCAGTATTAAAAAGCTCTAAAATCAGGACAGTAAGCAAAGAGCAACACTAAAAAAACAGGGGAATTCCAGACACGAAACAATCAGGGCCAGCTAACACCTCTCAACAAAGGATTCCCCCAGGCAGGAAGCAGCTGAGCTTTGAAGCTGCAAGGCTTTGGAGCCGTGGGTTCAAATGACAGGGAAGGAGATCCCACCTTAACATTAATAATAATAATAATAATAATAATAATAATAATAATTTCATTTCTTACACGCCTCTCCTCATGACTCGAGGTGGGTTACAAAACAATTAAAATACATAAACACATCAAAAATTACAAATATATACACTAAAACGTACCTCCTTACACACCAAAACGTATCTCTACAAAATACATATTAAAACAGACAAAACAGAGATTAAACAAAAGATATGCATTGAAATTAACTGTCTGGGCAGGCCTGCTGGAAGAGCCAGGTCTTCACTTGTATGGAATTGTACATGTATAGGATTGTGGGGTGGACCTGGACCCAAACCATGGAGGGCTTTAAAGGTCAAAACCATCACCTTGTACTTTTCCCAGAAACTTGGCAGCCAGTGGAGTGACTTTTTAGGATGGATATGATACGCTCACTCCTAGATGTTCCTGTAACCAACCTGGCTGCCATATTTTGAACCAGTTGGAGTTTCTGAACTTGGGACAAGGGAAGCCTAATGTAAAGCACATTGCAGAAGTCCAACCTTGAGATTATCAGTTCGTGCACTACCATTAGGAAGAATTTAGAGCTGTTCAGTAGTGGAACTCTCTGCTTCGGAATCTGGTGGAGGCTTTGAAGCAGAGGCTGAATGGCCATTTGTCATGGGTGCTTTGATAGTACTTTTCCTGCATGGTAAGGGGTTCGTCCAGATCCCCCTTGGGTCTCTTCCAACTCTGATTCTATATAATGTGGATTCAAACTCTCCATTCCACGGCAGCCTTTGTTTCAAGGCGCAGACCTCTTTAAAACACTGACCAAAACGATGAGAAATCCTCTGTATCAAACTACCCTCAGTGTAGGAGGTACCTGTGAATGTTGTGTTTCGATTCCCAAGAGAGATTTCAGTCGATTTCTATGCAAATATATTCCTGAATCGGGAAAACAAAAATCCCAAATCTTTCTGGTCCCCAGCATTTCAGGGAAAGGATTCTCCATCTATAGCAGAATTCTTACCCCTCGGCCTCCTCACTCCCTTTGGATCATGGAGAATGGCTTTAAAAACCAGCATGGGTTTCTGCAGGGATGAACTTGGATATGCAGGTGTAGCTTGCAGTTGCGACAATCAGCTCAGGGCTCTTTCAGACTGCCCCAAGGTCACCCTGGATTCCCCCATTCACAGCCTAGGACTTGAACCGCAGTGCCATCTCGGTTGGGATTTTTACAGGATTGTGTTTTTGATGAACTGGAAGTACAGGCAGTCCCCAAGTGAGAAACAAGATAGGTTCTGTAGGTTTGTTCTTGAATTGAAAAAAAAATGGCTTGTTGTGGAAACAGGCTGGGAGGGGGGCATCTTTTTCCCATGATAATAGCTCTTCCAGGAGAGAATTTCCCTTCTGAGTTGTAGATTTCTCTCATTTCCTATTCTCCCAGCCCCGTTCTTAACTAGGAGTTGTTTGTAAGTCAGATGTTTGTAACTCAAGGACTGCCTGTATGTGCTTGTAAACAGAAAGCCTGTGTATGGTGACAATTCAGAGCATTGGACGGGTTCCAGAGTGATCCATTGTCAATTACTCACTATGGTATGAAAGGTATGGGGCAAGCTTTAGTCAGCTACCTGCTTTCTCTCATTGCTCTATCAAAAGTGTTGTTTGGAAGATGAGGGAGACCACTAGCAAGAGCATTTTGAGGTAATTGGGGGAAAGACATCATATCAGTGTCACAAATACCGTATTTTCTGGCGTATAAGACTACTTTTAAACCCAAGAAAATCTTCTCAAAAGTCAGGGGTAGTCTTATGCACTGGGAGTCATCTTATAGAGCGGGTGCTGAAACTTCCAATCCGGATTGAAAAATCTGTGGTTGCCGCACATGGTGGGGGAGTTAAAAAATGGTAGTGGCCACGTCCCTGCCGTATAAAGCGACTGTATGAAAGCATTAAGGGCGACGCTGTACAAAATACGGTAGAAGAAAATCCATTCATCAGGATTCGTGGACTTAATGCGGTCCTGATGGTGAGGTGAAAGGGCGCCTCACCAGGAAGGTGTAAGTGAAGGGTGGAGCAAGCTGCAGGCGTCTGGGGCGCCCAGGGTATAGAAAAAAGAGATAGAGTGGCTCTGGGCCCAGACAAACACACCTCTTTTACCTACCTGGCCCGCCCTTGTATCCTATTACTGTGCCTCCTCCTCTGCCTCTCAGATCTCGCTCCTGAAAAGTGCAGTGAAGCGAGGCAGGTGTGCATGTGTGAGATCTGAGAGGCAGAGAAGGAGGTACAGTAATAGGAAAATTGCCACATTGAAATCAAATCTGATGCTTTAAAAAATTTTATTTGGTGTGCGTTGGAAGCGGGGCAGTCTTATATGGCGAGTATATCCCAAACTCTATATTTTAACTGGAAAAGTTGGGGGTCGTCTTATATGCCCAGTCGTCTTATATGCTAGAAAATATGGTACATAAGAATCTTGTATTCAGTAGGAATATATTGAATAAATAGTGATGGTATCATAGAATCCTAGAGTTGGAAGAGACTCCCAATGGCCATCCAGTCCAACCCCATTCTGCCACACAGACACAGCCAGCCAAAGTACTCCCAACAGATGGCCATCCATCTTCTGCTTAAAAACCTCCAGAGAAAGGAGGAGGCCCTATTAGACTCCCAGGCAGCAGCACATTCCATTGCCAAACAGCTCTTTCTTTCAGGAAGTTCTTCCTAATGTTTAAGTGGAATCTTTTTTCCTGCAATTTGAATCCATGGCTCTGTGCCCTAGTCTCCAGAGCAGCAGAAAACACTCCTGCCCCCTCCTGAATGCAACATCATTACAGTAGAGCCTCTCTTATCCAGCCTTCGCTTATGCAACATTCTGTATTATCCAACTTGCTTTGGCTGCTTCTGGCTTGGAAGAATAAAAACAAGGCTCTTCCTCAGATAATTGCAGCAAGGCTCCTCTTCCTTCTTTCCTCTCTTCTTTCTCTGGCTCCTGCTCTGGTCTCCGCTTCCCTCTTTGCTGTCTCTCTCCTGAAGGCGGGAGGCAAACCCTGCCTTTGCTTGGGTTTAATAGATTTTCCCTTAATTCCTCTGTATTATCTGAGATTTTTGCTTTTTAATGTTCTGGCAGCCCATTTATGTTTGATAAGCGAGACTCTACTGTATTATTATTATTTGAAACACAAGATTAATACACAGCAAACAAGGTCACTATGCTGCCTGTTGTATTGGATCACACATCAGGCATTTCCAAAGTGTCTAGGACTCCGTGGTGTATTATTATTATTATTATTTACTCTATTTGTATCCTGCCTTTCTCTACCCAGAAGGGGACACAAGGCAGCTTTACATATGGCAACTATTCAATGCCTTTGAACAACAAACATACATTAAAATACATTAAATTACAGACTTAGAATTCAAATTAAATGCACATTATAAACATAAAAAACATTACAATCACTATTATGGCTCTCATGTCCCCTTCTCTCAGCCTTCTTTTCTCCAAGCTAAACATACCCAGCTCCCTAAGTTCTCCTTATAGGCTCTGACTTCTAGACTTTGGACTATTTTGGTTGCCCTTCTCTGGACACCTTCCATCATGTCCAGCTCCTCCTTGAATTGTTTTGCCCAGAACTGGACACAACCTTTTTCCAGGTGAGGTTTGACCAAAGCAGAAGAGAATATAACTATGAATTCCCTTCATCTCGACACTAGACTCCTATTGATGCAGCCCACAATCACCTTGACCTTTTTATCTGCCTCATCACACTCTTGGCTCTTGTTCATTTGCACAGCATCAGCCTTCCTTGAAAACCTTGACACTTGTCTCAGAGTGTCTTTTTCCCTGTGTCTGTTGCATTGAAGGGAGCTCATTTCTAACAGATCTGCAAATTAATTGGTTGAAAAAATAACTGGGAATGAATGAACACAAATTTTATTTGTAGATCGGGAAATGTCAATACTTTTAAACTGTTTGAATGGAAACCCCGGTGGTGCCGGTAGTACTGAAGACCGACCGGTCAAAGGTTCAAATCCGGGAGAGCACGGATGAGCTCCCTCTGACAGCTCCAGCTCTCCATGCGGGGACATGAGAGATGCCTCCCACATGGATGGTAAAACATCCAAGCATCCCCTGGGCAACTTCCTTACAAACGGCCAATTCTCTCACACCAGAAGCGACTTGTAGTTTCTCAAGTCGCTCCTAACATGAAAAAAAAGCTGCTTTAATATTTATCCACTACTTTTAAAGCTCACACTTACATCTATGAGTATGCTGGTAATAATTTACAAAGTGTATAGTAGCACATAATTAATGTTCAGAGTATTTCTCAGTTGTGATTTTCATCAAAGTCCTGTCAGGTAGAGCACAAGTATGTCCCATTGTTCAATGATAGCTGTGCTTTCCTTGCATCAAGTCCAAAGATTCAACTGTCAGCATCTTTAGTTTGGAACTCTTTTGGATTAATAGTGCTGGGAAAATTTGTCTAAAGCTCTGGAGAGGTGTTTTCAGTTTTGAATTAGATCAGATATAAGTCAGCATCGTGTTTAACTAGCTGCCCAGATTTTATAGCTGGAGGGGTCTGTTCTGAGTGTTCAGTCGCGGTACCTTGACTTCATATCCAAAGTCCAGATCTCAGATAAGTCTGCGTCTTGTCGAGAGCAGAGAGTGCTTTTAAATAACAATGGAGCTCTCCAAATACTACCGGTATATCTTGCTTGCATCTCACTTCTTTTGATTTTTTAAAAATATTTTTTATTGTTTTATCATAGTTATTACATTTGTTATGCATTTGGTTATAGCAGTTACATATTATTCAACACACTCTTTAACATATAATCTTATTATTCTGCTTAAGCATTTTTCCCTTTTTTCCCTTTTGATTTAAGACTCAGAACTCTGATTATACTTCCGTTAAGTGTTGACAGTGGAACAACATTTTTGAACTCCTTTTTTTCTGACTCTGCTTTTCTAGTTCTTCTCCAGACTGACGGAACGATTTGTATATGGTGTGGATGTTCTCGTAGATACATTCTGGAGAATATGGGCAGATCTTCTGGATGTCCTTGGGATTGATGGTAAGTGTAGAAGACAGAAGTAATTTTCACTTGGCCCCCTTCTGTGCCTGAGAACTTCTTTCATAAACTCATCAGTTTTGGAATAAGATTTAGATAGTCCTTGCTTAGTAGAAATTAAATAATGTTGTTGCTTCATTCAAATTGATATGGGTAGTAGAGGTATCTCTAGTTTACAGTGTAGTTAACTGGACGTATGTCTTAAGAACAGTTGAAATGCGCTATGGGATCTCTGGCATCTGTTTAACCACAGCTTCCTTGAAGCCAGTTAGTATTACATCATAGCTGAGAGAAGCATTTGTAATTTGCTTCATCTACAGAGCCATATCTCCTGCTCCCTGACTTCCTTAATGTGCGGGAAAGGGTGATAGTCAAGACAGCCAATTGTCAGCCTTGCATCCCCATAGATCAGTGTGTCTCAACCTGGGGTCAGGACCCCCTGGGGGGGTCACCAAAGACCATCAGAAAACACAATATTTTCTGTTGGTCATTAGGGTTCTGTGTGGGAAGTTTGGGCCAATTCTGTCATTGATGGGGTTCAGAATACTCTTTGATTGTAGGTGAACTATAAATCCCAGCAACTACAACTCCCAAAATGTTAAGGTCTATTTCCCCCAAACTCCACCAGTGTTCACATTTGGGCATATTGAGTATTCATGCCAAGTTTGGTCTGGATCTATCATTGTTTGAGTCCACAGTGCTCTCTAGGATGTAGGTAAACTACAACTTCCAGGGTTTTCTGTTGGTCATGGGAGTTCTATGTGCCAAGTTTGGTTCAATTCCATTGTTGGTGGAGTTCAGAATATTTGCTGATTGTAGGTTAACAATAAATCCCTGCAACTACATTTGGTCCAGTGAATGAAAATACATCCTGCGTATCGGATATTTACATTATAATTCATAACGGTAGCAAAATTACAGTTTTGAAGTAGCAACGAAAATAATTTTATGGCTGGTGGGGGGGGGGGGGTGACCCACAACATGAGGAATTGTATTAAGGGGTCGCAGCTTGAGGTAGGTTGAGAACCATTGTCATAGATCCTGTCCACTTTATCAGACTTCATGTAGCAAAAGGTTTATTAAACAAAATACTTCAGTTTCTAAGGCAATTTTGTTTTTGTTGAAGTTGCCATGTGGCTTTCAGTGATAGTTCCATGTTGGACAATTTACATTAGTTTGATCAAGATGTAACTGATACATGGGGGACCATGGCCACGTCTGACAGCACTAGAAATATTTATTTTATTTCATTTTATGTTATTTCTACCCTGCCTTTCACCATGTGGGTACTCAAGATAGCTTACAATAACATAACACAACCCAATACCTTTAAAAATATGACAAATACAAAAGTTAATCAATTTTTTAAAAATGAAACATTTGTATCATGAATACAAAATACAGTTGAAATAATAATACAATTAAAATTACAGTTGAAACTAAATATCCTAGTTTTCTAACAGATTCATACAGAGATACAGTCCTTCAAGTAACCTGGACCCAAACCGTACTGGTTTTAATATTACTTATGCCAACCACATTCATAGTCCTACGTGGTGGTTTTGTCTGATGAAGCTTTCTCCATTAATTTCCAGGTTCCAACGTGGTCCATTATTTCAGCCCTGGGTCCCTTGCCAACAATCCAACCCGTGCTCTCCTGCTGATCGGGGCTGTCCTGCTTGCTTATTGGTTTGTGTCCCTCCTCCTTGGGTTCTTCTTTTATCTCCTGCACGTCCTGTGTGGCCGATTCTTCTGGATTGTCAGGGTCACCCTCTTTGCACTCTCCTGTGTGTACATCCTCCAGAAGTATGAAGGTGAGCCAGAACTTGCAGTGCTTCCCCTGTGCTTTGTGGTGGCAGTCTACTTCATGACTGGGCCAGTGGGTTTCTACTGGAGGAGGAATAGCCACAGCACCCTGGAGGAGAAGATCGACCACCTTGATAGCCAAATCAGACTCCTGAATATACGTCTTTCCCGTGTGATTGAGAACTTGGACAGAGGCAGCGACCAGTGAAAGAAAAGATGGAGTTCACCTTTGACACCAGCTCTCTAGGAAACTTCTAAGCACTCTCGCTAGTTCATGAAAATTAGCAAAGCAACAAGCCAACACTGGAGTAAGCAATGTGCAACATTAACCCGTTAAGTGTTAAAAGTAGTAATTTTATCTAGATAATAAACGGAAAGGGAAAGCAAAATGTTACATTTGTAAGATAACATTCTTTACCTGTATATTCCAAGATTTTCTTCCATAAGTAGAATTTTATCCAATTACTTTTTTCAAGCATTTAAAACATCTTTTGTAAGTTTAAAGAAAAGGGTTTTTATAATGGCACATTGACTTGTCTGTTTAAAATTATTTTTTAAAATCCTATATAAGCTTTAGGCAGATTTGACATTGTAAAAGAAGGAAGAAAGTTTAGAGCTCTATCTAATACTTCTGCCCCGTGGAGGGTGTCCGCTGCTCATTTGTGTTTTTATTTGTGCTTCGTTTTTGTGCCCGTGTTCACTGGTGACCAATTTTCGTTGCCTTGAGTTGCCTTTTCATGTAATCGCAAAAGAAAGTGATTCTTAGCAAGATGAGAAGATCGTTCAGCATGGCTTTTAATGGCAGTGGAGGGCCTCCTTGGAACATATGCCCTTTACAACCCCAAAGAAGTGTTTTTTGTGCGCGTGTATCCTCTCGATAGTAGTCACATTTTAAACAGCATCCTTGATGGAGGATGCACAACGCTTTCTCCTTTTTGTAATAGTTTCCCCAATTCACTTCAGTGAAGACGATAGCCCTGTATATAGACAGAAAGATGCCTTCTTGTTCCATTGTTGTGAATGGTTGAACTCTAGCACAAGTGGATTTGGCTATTCAGTACAGGAGAACTGAAGTGCATCCTTCTATCTGCTGGAGTAAATAGCATAGCATAGATTTCTGGATTCTTTCCCTCAGAAGCCCTCTCACTGTAAATCCAGTGAAAATCAAAGGCATTATTATGCTGAATGAAATGTCTACTCATTGTGGCAGAGGAGAAACAGAGCCTGTTTAAACAACAGCAACATTAGATATATAAAAAGGCTGGAAAGAGCAGTAGTAGAAAACGAGCAGTGTTGACTTTGTCTTTGCAATAATATTTTCTGAGCAGAAGTAACTTCAGTATCAGTTATTGAATAAATTATTATTCAATATAAATTATGGGGAAATAAATCCAACCACCTCAGGATCCCTAATGACTTCATTTTTAAAAAGACAACAGGTAAAATAGTACTGCAAAAACAGTGGCTGCTGAAGTCTTTCTCAGGACCAGTAAGTGGCAATAAATGAAGTAAAGTGGGAACTCACACCTTAAGGACAATGTGGTGCTTTTTTTTCTTGGTGATGGTCTCTAGAGAGCAGCGTTGCCAAGTCAGGAGAAATATTGAACTTAAGGAATCAGTAGCAATAGTTTGCAAGGAGGACATTGTAGGGTTCATGCTACCAAATGTTCCTACCGAATTATGGTGTGGCAGCATATAGTTCGCTACAGAAAAATTGATTTCTCTTGCTTCAGAACCAAATGCTTCCCAACTCAGCCCTGTAGCACTTAGTTATTTGGGGGAAAAATAATGTTCAGGAGTATGCTTTCTTTGGGGGAAATTGGAAAAAAACCCCACTAGGAACTCAATCTGTGAGAGTTCAGAATTCCTCATGCATGAAGGATTGTGCAGTATTTGGCCAGCTGAATTCTTTTGGCTGGAAGAAACCGGAATGAATAGAGTCGAATGTGTTTTTAATGTGCTGCTTACTTTGACACAATGATTGGCATTTCAGATTTTTACAAAACCCAATTGGCTAGTGGGTGTTCTTAAGTGTTTCAGCATTCATGGAAAGTTGGCTTGCAGGCACATGTCTTCCTCTTTCTCACGCTCTGCTGCCAATTGGATCTGGATTTATCCTGATCTGAAATTGAACTATTTTCTGAATAAATGTACAGAGGACCAGAGTAGTGTAATCAGCTACAGTTGGTAAGATGTCAAGCACTGGATTTCTTGTTCTTTTTGTTGAGAAAATACCTGTGAAAACTTTACTCCTCTTGCTCCAAATCACCATGGTGGTGTTGCATGAAGAATGTATATATTTTTATACATAAAGCATTTCATTGTATTGTATAAGATTAATGTTGAGAGGAATATTGATGTAATTATTTCCTGCACTATACTTTGACAGTATCTGTAAAACTGGTTTCTTATCCCACTTGTAGATGGTTTGATTTTAATATTAGACAGGAGCACAAACTATTGTCCAGTGTACTTGAAAAGTGTTCTGACCATTTTCACATTGTTCAGCTATTATCCTTTCAAATATGCAGTATTGGCTTGCATTGTCCCCCCTCCCCCCCCCCTCAAGCTCTATAAAACACAGACACTGTTTTCCTGTCAGTGACTGTGTTCTCTCTCTGACTTCATTCTATGGGTAGCAGTCAGATTTCTCCATTTTTGTGCCACTGCTGTATTTTAATCTCTGGGGGCACTTTATAGAGAAGAGGGTACCTTTCTAGCTATTTAAAGGATGGATATAGTAAGAGGCAATTTAAGTGACACAGCTTAGGGCACTGCCAGCAATCATGGACAAGAGACAGGAAGAACATGTAGATATATCTATAGTCAGGTCTTTTCCTGTGATCATGAGCTTTGCTTTTGTATTACTGCCTTCTGGGACTTAAGAGTGGACTCAGTTTGGATATACGTACCAGGCATTTTCCTTATTCTTCTGGAAGGTTGCCTTGTATAAAATTCAATTAAAGCAGTGGTGTCAAACTTGTGGCCCTCCAGGGGTTTTGGACATCAGCTCCCAGAATTCCTGGCCATTGGACAAGCGGCTCCCTAGCCGCTTGTCCAATGGAGGGCTACACATCTGAAACCTCTGACAATGGGATTCCTTACAACTCAGCCCATTTTGCTCAACATCAATACAACCAAGTTCTATAGCTAAGAGCAGTTTTTTTCAGCAATGTGATATTTGTATCGATTTGGTTGTGATTTGGTATCCATGAAGCAGGGGGGCTGGCGTTTTTGGGTGCTTTACAGGCCTTCCACATAGCTGTATAAAATCCACATTGAACTGGATTATATGGCAGTGTGGACAAAGGACCCTTCCACACAGACATATAACCCATAATATCAAGGCAAATAATCCACAATATCAGTTGGGAAGTTTAGGCATAGTATTCCCAGTCTCCCTAATTATGATCGGGAGGGGTTTTTTTCTTCCTCACAAAATTCCTTGCTTGGTTGATATTCCTTTTGCCTCTCTGCTTTAATGCTACATCTGCATTGGTGCTAACACTGGTTAATGCTAAATAGGATTGTCTTTGTAAGGTAACATTAACCATGGTTTACTATTAAGGACAAATTCTACGCTGTCTGAATCAAACCATAGGAAGGAGAAAGGAACAGGTCCCCCAGAAAAAAAGGGTGGCAAGGATTGGTCAAGTCTAAGTGTATTAATCCAAGAGCATATACATGAGCTAAAATTTCTGGCATAGGAAAAGCTGTTGCTTGCATCCACCCTTTGACCTTACCGTGCTAAATGAGCCACTTTTGATTCATTCCTCAACTACTGAAAGCAGTTGCTTAAGAGAAGCTGATGTTTCCTACTTGCCAGTAGTTCACAGTGTGCTGTTTACGCAAGATCAGACTCCTGTGTAGAATATATTGCCATGATCCATCACTAAAAATGTAATAATAGCATCAAACAGTGCATCGACTTTGTTGATAAATAGAACAGAGTTCCTGTATTTTGAATGTATTGCTGTTTTCGAGAAGTGATATTAGATGTTCTAAGTACTGTGTACCAAATAGCTGGATGCCCCATTTTGTTCTTCCAGATATAATCAACTCTCTGCTTAATTAATGTGGCCAGTTCCTTAGCTTCTACAGTATTTGTTTATTTTTCAATGAAGGTAATTTTTGTTTTCATGTGACGCTTCTCCCACCCTAACAATCTGTATTTGGCAGCTAATGATCTGTCTTGAACATGATAGATCCTTTCCTTTTGGTGAGCATTACGTTTTACTGTGTTCTGCTTGTGAATTTCAATTTCTTGGATGATTCAATTAGCAATTATGCAAAGTGCCATGTTTAGAAATCTACTCGTTTTTCTGTTGTAAAGCAGGAAAATATATTGATCATAACACTGATTATATGCACTGAATATTAGTGACTTCGTATCCTGTTTTGAACATCTGATCCCAAGTATTAGATAGTTTTTTTAACAGTCTGTATACCCAAATTCTGTGTTCCATTTAAAGAAAAGAATTTGGTCAGAAGAAAATATCATGTGCATCTATGGTCTTTAGGGAAATATTAGCTGATAATAATGTTGAGTAGCCAGGAAGATCTCACAGCTATTTTTAAAACTCATGCCTTTATTTATTATCTGAACACCAGATCAGTGTATGATTTAGTGGATCGTTTGTAGACTGAACTCACAACTGAATTATGGTGTTGTGACCAATTAAAGTTTAAATGTTTACTGTAATTTGTCAGTGGAGTGTTTTTAGTTGTCTTTAAATTTTTATTCAAGTGTTTTGAAACCGTTTCAGGGAATCCAAGGGCCCCTTGCAAATGTCATAGAAATTCATAAATAAGACTTTCTCAGAGACAGCTTGTCCTTATCTGTAACAAATCTTCCTCTGCAATGATCAATTGCAGGAGGTTTTTTGGACACATCAACTAATCCACAAAAACGAAAAGAAAAACAGCACCAAGACCCAACTGGAGACCTTTTCAACAGGCCTACCTACTAATGGCCTGCTGGGATAAACAAGAGTATTATCATTTTGCAGGTGAGCAAATAGGAAGCAGTCCAAGAAGGAAGATCTCTCAAATCTTCATCTAAGGAGCCTTCAAGGGCAATGAGATCAGTTCCCAAGTCAGGCAGAACTTGATAGGTGTGCTGCACAGTCTGTTGTTCATTGGTTCATTCATGAATGCATAGACATATCAAACTCAAGACCCACAGGCGAAATTCAGCCCACCATGTCATTTTATGTGGCCCTCCAGATGCTGGACTGCACCTCCTGTATTCCTCATCATGACACATGACTAGAGCAGATGATGGGAGTTGGAATACAGGAACATCTGGAAGGCTGCCATTTGTTCTGTTTAGTCTAGAGAGTGGGGTTTGGATTGAGATCCAAAGTTTGTGGATAGGGTGCCTGGCTCTAAAACATCCTTAAACCTTTCCCCAGCCTCAGAGCCGCAAAGGCTGGTGGGTTGCCATTCCCATCACCTTCAATCTGTGTGGTGGATAATCAAAAGTGATGGGAGTAGTTGTTCAGTAACATCTGAGGACCCAAACTGGGTAAAAACTAAACAGTACCAACCATTATGTTAAAGATATTACGGTTGGCCCTTTCTATATCCACAGATTCTCCTTTTATGGATTCAACAGATCTTTGAAGGCAACTTGAATGGAAATGGGTTTGGCACCGCTGGCATAGAACATAGGTCATTTGCATTCACACAAATAAATGCAATATGTAAAAAGGCAGCATTATAAAAGAGCAATGTGAAACATACACATGGTTTGCCTATTAAAATCAAATACCACTGAGATACAATCTAACATCAAAAAGGTAACGTTCTATAGCTAAGAGCAGTTCTTTCACCAATTGGATATTTGTATTGATTTGATTGTGATTTGGTGTCCATGAAGCACGGGGGCTGACGTTCTTTGGGTGCTTTACAGGCTTTCCACATAGCTGTATAAAATCCACATTGAACTGGATTATATGGCAGTGTGGACAAAGGGCCTTTCCACACAGACATATAACCCATAATATCAAGGCAGATAATCCACAATATCTGCTTTGAACTGGATTGTCTTGAGTCCATGCTGCCATATAATCCAGTTAAATGTGGATGTTATACAGTTGTGTAGAAAGAGCCTCAGATAGATAACCCAGGGTCCTTTGACACAGCCATATAAACCTAAATATCAAGGCAGAAAATCCCACATTATCTGCTATGAACTGGGTTTGCTGAGTCCACACTGCCATATATTCCAGTTCAAAGTATATAATGTGGGATTTTCTTCAGCTGTGTGGAATGGGCCTTATTGCCTATTACAGAGAAAACCATCTAATTCCTAATCCATCTAAAATGTAGATGCGTGCTTTTAATCTTAAGAACTGACAAGCATCTCGAGCTCCGAGAATCACCTGGGAAGGAATCCCACTGGAGCATTGCAGCACACCAACATACCTGGGATTTACTTTGGACCGTGCTCTGACTTACAAGAAGCACTGCTTGTACATCAAGCAAAAAGTGGGTGCTAGAAATAACATCATACGAAAGTTGACTGGCACAACCTGGGATCACAACCAGACATAGTGAAGGCATCTGCCCTGGCGCTTTGCTGCTCTGCTGCTGAGTACACATGCCCAGTGTGGAACACATCTCACCATGCTAAAACAGTGGATGTGGCTCTTAATAAGACATGTCACATTATCACGAGGTATCTACACCCTACTCCATTGGAGAAATTATACTGTTAGCCGGTATTACACCACCTGACATCTGTCTGGAAGTAGCAGCCAGCAATGAAAGGACCAAGGTATTGACATCTCCGGCCCTTCTGTTTGGACATCAGCCAGCAAGCCAATGCCTTAAATCAAGAAACAGCTTCCTAAGATCTACAGAGATACTCGCAGGAACACCTCAGCAAGCAAGAGTCCAAAAGTGGCAGGTGAAAACCCAGAACCTCAATCAGTGGTCGATACTGGATGAGGCACACAGAAGAGTGGACAACTTGGAAGGCGCTGAACAGACTGCACTCTGGCACCACGAGATGCAGAGCCAACCTTAAGAAATAGGGCCACAAAGTGGAGTCCACAACATGCGAGTGTGGAGAAGAGCAAACCACAGACCATCTCTTACAATGCAGTTTGAGCCCTGCCATTTGCACAATGGAGGACCTTCTCACAGCGACACCTGGGGCGCTCCAAGTGGCCAGCTTCTGGTCAAAGGAAATTTAGTATAATGCCAAGTTTTTAACTTTAGTTGTGGTTTTAAATACATTATTACTGCATTATCAACTTGCTTCTGACACAATAAGGACTCTTCCACACAGCCACATAAGCCAGAATATCAATGCAGAATAACCCATAAGATTTGCTTTGAACTGGATTATCAGAGTCCACACTGCCATATATTCCAGTGCAAAGCAGAAAATCATAGAATCAAAGAGTTGGAAGAGACCTCATGGGCCATCCAGTACAACCCCCTGCCAAGAAGCAGGAATATTGCATTCAAATCACCCCTGACAGATGGCCATCCAGCCTCTGTTTAAAAGCTTCCAAAGAAGGAGCCTCCACCACACTCCGGGGCAGAGAGTTCCACTGCTGAACGGCTCTCACAGTCAGGAAGTTCTTCCTCATGTTCAGATGGAATCTCCTTTCTTGTAGTTTGAAGCCATTGTTCCTTGTCCTAATCTCAATGGAAGCAGAAACAAGCTTGCTCCCTCCTCCCTGTGGCTTCCTCTCACATATTTATACATGGCTATCATATCTCCTCTCAGCCTTCTATTCTTCAGGCTAAACATGCCCAGCTCTTTAAGCCTCCTCATAGGGCTTGTTCTCCAGACCCTTGATCATTTTAGTCGCCCTCCTCTGGACACATTCCAGCTTGTCAATATCTCCCTTCAATTGTGGTGCCCAGAA